ATTACTAAAATAAGAATTAGAGTGAGTGATCGGATTATTGATCATCTTTGCTTTTTAAAATCTTATAAAAGTTTACAATATTTTGTATTATATTTTATTTAAAAAATGAAAATTACCTTCTAAGTTAGAAGTTTGATCTAAGTTCATTCTTTTTTAAATTTTTAACTTAATTCAAAGCATTTGTTGTTGTTGTTGTTGTATGCAGTTTCCAGCAAACTTTAAGAAATATTTTTCTATTTGTGAAAATTTCTACGTAATTCAAAGGTAAATTTTATTATATATCTTACACAGCATTATTAATATGATTTTGGATGTTACAGAACTTTAAAATTACTTTAAAAAATGAAAAATAATTATATCATTTGATTTCAAGATATTTTGTATACCTTAAAAATAATTAATTCTATTCCGGGAAACAGTTCACTTTTATCCCAGAATCCTGGGACAAGCAAAAGACCGGGAATTGAGAAACCCTAATGGGCATGTACTGTAGTACAATTCTGATCAATCAGATCTTTTTATGCTTGTAACTTTGTTTAGTTATTTACAGCATGCTTCAGTAGCTCTAATTTTTTTTTTTTTTTTTGAAATAATCTTTATTTTGCTTATCCACATTTAAGCAGTGCTTCCTATACTTTTGTTTTTGATTTCTGATCTATTAGATATCTCACAATAATCAAGCTTCCAGATTTTGCCAAGTTGTTTTTTACACTATATAAAATTTACTTACTGAATAAATTTACTGTTAAGTAGAGGAAAACTACTTTTTCATAATAACTTTTTAATAATTAGATAATTTTAGATTAATTTTATTTAATAATTTACTCTTAAGTGTTTCTATCTGAAATGTGGCTCAAATCTATAATTTCTTCAAACTGGATAAATATGCTACCAACTATGCCATTTGAATAATTCAAATCATCTGCATGATTATGTGAACCAGGGAAAGCATAATGCTTGTTCTTAATGGTATTCTGGCATTATATATAATTTGTATTTGTTCCTAGTAGCGCACACACGCACACTTGATTCAATCAATAATAGTCTGTCAATTTCATTACTTTATATATATGTTTTGAGAGTTTGAAAATCACTAATTTGGTGGTAAAAATGTTAGTTGCGATGTAAAATCATATCAGCATGTATTATTGTTGTGTACAGTACATTTAGTAACTTTCAGATACTGAAGATTCTATATTCAATATGTGAGAAAGATCCATTTACAAATATTTACAAAATGCTTTACAAAGGTGTTACTATTTAAGTTGTGCTGTTATCAAGGTTCAAATGTTTATATGTAAACATCGTATATACATAATTTGTATTCATTATATAAGAAGTCTTTTTTTCTTATTGTGTTCAGAACATTTATTATATGTATTTTATTGTTGGTGTATAAGTAATCTATGAAGAAAATTGTTATAAAAATTTTTTCATACAGATACTTCAAATGAAAAACTGAATCATTGTCATAATTGGCTCGTGTTGATTTTGAATCCAAAACACTTCTTTAAAAAAGACTTTAGGAAAAACAATGAGATAATGTTTTCAAGACCAAGTTCTACCATTAATAATCACATACACTGAACCAATTTACGGTGTGGTACGATAAACAACGAAAAACAAACGTTTTCGAACCCCTTCTGGGCTCTTCATCAGGTTCCTCAGTTTCTACCATTAAATCAAGTTTCTAGACTTACTAATCAATGAGTCCTCAACCTTAAAATATATATATGTTGTTTTCTTTAAATAAAATTATGGAAATTACAGTGACGTTTATCAATTGGCATAACATCATACACTTAGTCATCATTACTTGTGAATGAAACAAAATCCTGATTTTTAATTTTTTATTTTTATTTTTATTTTTTTAATAATATTACTATGTTAACTATTTTAAATTTATACCAACACTATAAAATACTAACTTATAGCAAATCCTCAGTTAATGTTGTTTAAGTCCTTGGAAATTGCAACGTTAAGTGAATAGGACATATAATGAAATCATTTTTACCACAGGCTAAATGACAAACAAAATATAGTTTTGTTAATATTGCTTTAATTGGATCATAAGTTAAAATTGAACTTTTTGGGCAACAAGAGTATGCATTTTAATGATAAAAGATTTAATATATTGACAATATATTGAACATTAAAGAAATTCACTGAAGAAGCATATTATTATTATTTTCATTATTTGACAGGTGCATAAATGCATGGCATTTGATTTCGCACAAACGTATGTGTGTATTTAATAGTTATCAGTTTATCTAGGAATTTATGATGATTTTGAATTTAAAAGCATTATTTGCATTTTAAAAATGATGTGTTGTAATTGATATTAGTATAATATTGGATTTGAACAGTTGGTTTTATAAAATATCAAAAGTAATTGGCCTAAATTAAATTGGATATGAGAACAATATTTTTAAGGTGTATATCATTTCAAAAATCATAAATCATAAACTGTGTTGTTTTAATGGAGTACAGTGCAGGACACATTTTTGTGAACACTGTTTTCACAATAAGCATATGGTACTTTGATTTTAATAAATATATCTCAGCAGATAAGGCAATAGTTGAATCATAAAAAAAAAGGCCCGAAAATCCGGGGTTGTCTTATAGGACAGATACAAAAAAAATTAGATTAAAATTTATATAAATTAAAACCATTAACCATAATTATTTACTAGTAGAGAGTAGGGTATGTCCACAAAATAAAATAGCCCATACAACGTTTTTGTGAGTAGTCAGGGTTATTACCCGGATACCCAAATCAGTGTGAATGTTTGCAACAATCGTAAGGCAGTGCTGCCAGATCCAAAAAAAACAAAATTTGATAATCTTTCAAAAAATTACGAAAAGGACATAATTCCATATACACTATACAGTGTTATTATCCAGATGATGATTGCTTATCTAAACTAAATTCATAGGCCATTGATAGTTTGGGGATCATCTTATAGGACAGATATATACTGAAACTATAAAACTTCGACAAAAATTTATACCTTGTCTTATCTGCTGAGATATACGGTATATTTTATTATGACATTATATGTGACAATAAACAAAACTGTGAACAGACATTTCATTCTCTTTCAGGAGCAACAGAAAAACGTGTCCCCTGGACATGTTTTTCTGTTGCTTGCCCCTGAAAGAGAATGAGTATATATTAAATGTTTGTTTGCACTTTTGTTTGTCATCACATATAATGTCATAATAAAATATACTTCAATTTTCTATGTATATACTTATTGTGAAAACAGCATTTCCAAAAGCATGTCCAGCACTGTAGATCACTTCTTTAAGAGGAATGATGTATTGATTGTATTTAATACTGTGCTGTTTTCTAATTTAAGTATTCTAAAAGCAAATTGATTTACAAGTTGTTCAACTATTTAATAAAGTAACTGTGACAAAAATTGGATATCGAAGAACAACTGATGTGCAGACAGCCTAAATTATCAGAATCATAATTTAAATAGGATCTTGAAACAAATTTTCATAAGGCCAGCATTTTAATTTTTAAAAATTTTGAAAATTTGCAATCAGTAATATGCAAGGTGGTTTCTAAAAATAGTCTGATTTATTTTACTGCATAATCAATGAGGAGTTAAAGATCTTGAACCTTCGATTAAGTCATTTTATTTTGTAAATTTATATAAAAAATTTAATGTGTGTTCTTAAATTTATTTCTTTCTTTTCTTTACAAAAAAAATACCAAAACTTTTATCAGTTTTTATTTATTTATTTTTTTTTAATGAAATTTTTTGGTAATTGTTCTGAAAAACAATTTTAATTATATCCAGTTGACTTACTACAATAATTTGTGTAACATTATACATTCATTTAAAAATATACTGTATGTATGTCAAGTAAACTTAATTAACTTCATTCTTCTGGGTCAATTTAACTCCCACAAAGAGAGAGAGATTCCACGAAGTATGGACTGTAGGGTGACTGTACTAAATACTCACTGTCAAGGACATTACTAATGTATGGTTGACATTTTTACTTGACTTCAAATAACTGCCAAGTATGTAGTGGTAGAAAATTGAAAGTCAAAATATAAAAGAAGTAGAATACATTACAAGTGAATGGTATCTAGGTTTTTATAGTAAATTTATATTTTAATTTTAAAGAAAACAGATTTATCTTGATATTGTTTTTTTAATTATAATTTTAAGAAATGTTTTTATTTATAAGGTTCTGTAAACAAAGATATATTTTTATTATAAATTAGCTTATTCTTCCCAAAAGGTGCAAATTTTCTGCTTATAAATAAGTGGGAAGATGCACCTCTTACATATTTTTAAGTTTAATGTTTAGTATTTTCTAAGTTTAATGTTTGCATGGCTCTGAATTTAATTAAAATTTATTAAAAAGTAGTTTGCATTTCAAGGTATATATAGTTACAAAAGAAATATTTGGTAACAATTGTGCAATGTGATAGCTTTAATTATATATTTTTTAAATGCTTTAGAAGAAACTTGACCTTTTTACAGTAGCAAAAAATTTTAATAACTAATGTTTTTGGTCATTTTAAAAAAATCCTCAGGTTACAAACTAGTTAGTTTTTTGTATTTGTAAATGAATAAACTTATTAATAAGAATAAAAAAACTATTGCCTTTATTTTATCTGTTTTAACACAAAAAATAAAAAACAATAATGAGTTTAAAAACAAATATAATTAAAAGTATTTTGAATGATAATACATAATCATCATCACATAAAAGCAGAAAAACTAAGTAGATTTACCTGATGGTGATGGTTACATATTATCATCAAAGTACTCGTAATTGCATTTGTTTTTAACACTAAAAGGATTTTTTATGTGTTTATTTTATTTAGTGTGTGCCATAATGTATTGCATTTTAATAAATTTGTCTTGACCATAAACACTTAGAATTTCTTGATTTTATATTAATTAATTGTAATTGTTTACTTGGTTTATATATTTGGAAAATTTATAATTAATAATTTTTTCTTCTTCCAGAATAAAACCCTCATTGGGGGGTGTGGAATGAAACGATCATCCAGTCAATTAGCGAGAGATGATGATGGTGGTGTTCCACCCGAGAAAAGAATTCAAACTCATTCGACGGTAATTCCTCAGGCATTGGTGGGAAGTGGCATTGCATCGGGAGGTGCTCATGTTGTTAGTCCGGTATTGGGAATGGAGGCTGTGATGCCAAACGACACCTTGGTAAATTCTGATATAATGCAGCTTCAGGATGCTTCTTCTGCATCTGCGGTAATGAACGAACATCATTCTGATGGGTAAGGAACATTTTGCACAGTGAGTGATTACTAAAAAATATTTAAATTATGAATGTAGTTTTAGCTCCTTTTATCTTTAATTAATCTAAAAACTTTAACCTGAATAACTTCTATCCCTGGATTCAAATAAAAATAACTAGAATGTTTTTATTTTTGTACATTAAAATATCATAAAAATGCATACTGAAAAAATTATTTTCTGGCAAAAGTTTTAAGAGTTTGTGAGAATTTTATTTATAAATTTGAACTGTGTAATTTTTCATCAGCATTATTTCTGATAAGAAATTTTTATAAATAGAGAAATTTTCTAAGAAGTGATTAAAACTACAAAATAATTTTAGTTTTAAATTTAAAATATGCAACTGTTTGTATTAGTTTGATAATTTTTTAAAATTTTATATAAAGTCATGGTTTCTTATTAATAAAATTACAGTCAACAGAACAGAAATGTATGTTTGTGTGATGTAATGCTGAATTAGTATAAGAAGTTTTACATACATATTGAATATGAGGATCATAGAATGCATTAGCACCCTAGTAAAGCTCTGCCACACATATTAAGGCTCAAATTTGGCACTTTAATATTATATCTCTACAAGCAATGAACCAATTTGAATAAAATTTAAAATAGTTAGTGTCCATTATTAGTACTATGAACATGTTAAATTTTGAATAAATTTATTGGATCGTTTTAGACTTGTGCAGTTGGCATTTTGTTGCCTAATTCTATGAGATAGAGTAGTGACACCAAGCTACCAAACAACCTAGAAGGAGCCTCCATATGTTTAATACCTCATTCAAGTGCTGATCACCACCTATTTGCCCTTTTGAAAGTTTTGTTTAAAAATATTGAGGAATTATAACCATTTTAAAACATTTTAACATATTGGTTAATCAGCTATTACGTGACACAATGTAATGCAGGCTATTGCATGACTGTCATAAAAATATAATTATCATGTGACTTTGTCTTGCAATTACTTTTATCTATTAATTAATACAAACCTAATGATTTAAAAGTAGAGTATTTATAAAATAATATCTCATTTTTTAAGTTTTGGCATATTATCAGTTAATCAGTTATCACATGGCATGAATACTGTAAGCTGTTGCATTAATATAGAAATATAACAAAAACTATTCTACTGTGAAATTATTGATAATTGAAAAATCCTCCCCCAAAAAAAACTAGTGGAACCAGGTTGAAGAGTAAAACTCAATGAAAACATTTAAATAAAGGAAACTTTTGAAAGTTGTGGCAAAAGAATACCAGAAGCGGATTTAACAGTAAGATTAACGTGAATAAAGTGAACATTATACAGACTACAACTACAGGAAGTTTTGGTTGAAGCAATGTCATCATGGTAATAAAATGGAAAGTAAGCATTGTCACAAACAAATGCTTCAAGCTTTACTTTGTGCCTTAAGTTCCTTCACTAATATTGCTCAAAGGTGTTTTAATAATTAAGACCAAAATAAAGCTCAACATCATTTTCTGTAACAATGCTTGCTTTCCTGATTTATTATTATGGCAACATTGTTTTGTCTAAAATTTCCTGTGTAATGTTTGCTTTATTCACGTATTGTCTTACTGTCAAATCTCTACTTCCAGTATTCTTATGCCACAAGTTTTAAGTTTCCTTTATTTAGATGTTTTTGCTGAGCTTTACTTTTACACCTTGTTTCACCTTTTTTTTTTTTAAGTGCTGATCTTAGATCCAAAACTTAAAAGCTTGTAAAATTGCTGGTCATAAATTTTATGTGAATTTTTAAAAAATTTGTTAAAATCCAATATATGACAAACCATGAAACTCTGCAAAACTTTAAATTAAACAAGGTTGAAAATATTAGCTCAAAGATGGCTTTTTGATTACTATCCAGCATCAAATTTACAAAATATCCAACCAGTTTATATAGAATACATACAAAAATTTTAAAAATGTCAAACATTGTAACATTAAGCCAAACAATCACCATAATTAATTGTGTTTTTATTATGCTATAATTAATAATTAGAAACTAGAAATAGTATATAGAAGCCTGATTATTTACTGCGATTATTTGGCTTAGTATCACTACATCAGACTTCAGGATGTTTATATATTAGGTTGTAGCATTTTTAAAATAGAACATTTTAAAGTTTACCACAGTTAAAAATAAACATATCAATAAAAATAAAATGGCTTACAAAATTAACAAATTCAGTAAAGCAAAATAATAAATACAACACACAAGTTAAAATAACAGTAAACATACAATATGTACAAGAATATACACACTGTACCAGATACATCATAACACAAGTCATTCTTAATGCTTTTGGAACCTCGTACATTGATTTCCATGCTTTGGATATACTTTTTGTCACTTTGTAAGTCACTTAACTTTGTAAATCATTTTATTTTTATTTTAAACTAGCTGCAAGGACCCGCTTTGCTGGGTTTTTATTTGTTCGTACATTTATATGTAATATAGTTTTTTATATATAAAAGACATACATTAAAAAAACTATCTTTTAACTTTTTTATTTTTTGTACATAAGTATCTTAGATAGTAAGTATATATAAATATCTAAATGTTATTAAAATACACACTGAATGTTATTAAAATACAATCTTATATACTATATTCAATGTTTTGTTCTCTGGTGCATACACAAATAGATTTTCTGCTTGTCCGACACATGAAAAAGCAACATAAAGCTGACCATGTGAGAAACAGAATTCTTTCAAATTAACTCCGCAATATTGGAACGTCTGACCTCGCGCCTTATTGATAGTCATGCTATAAGCTAATCTCACTGGAAATTGTAACCGTTTAAAACAAAATGGCAAATCATTTGAAATTAATGGGATTCTTTGTATGAAAACCGAGTTTCCTTTTTCTTTGCCGGTTAGGATTACCTCTTCAATAATATTGTCAAGTAGCTGTTTTACACATAATCTTGTGCCATTGCATAATTTTGGTGAATTAAGATTTTGTAATAGTATAACTGGCGATCCAATTTTTAACTTTAATATATGCGAAGGCATACCAGGCGGATTTAATGAATTTAAAAATTCTGTTGGAAAGTTCACACTTTCATCTTGATTCATCATTTTGTCTATCGATTTATATATTTTATCTTGACCCGGTATCATATTCTGTATCTTTTCATTTATTTGTTGTACTACATTATTCTTTGTAGCTAAAATCGCCCGTTCGTACAACCATGTTTTATCCAGATAGTTTCTTTCTATACACGGATATACTTTTTCGATAAGTTGTTCTTCTGTATCTACCGCGTTGCACAATTGTTCTGTTAAAATAAGTTTACCAGAGTGTGGATCAAGGGGATAGGTGCCATTTCCAATTTTCAAAACATTTTCGGCAAATGTTTGTGCTCGCGGATCTCCTGTAATTATTGCACGTGTATTTTCTGTTAATGATAACTTTTCAACACGATTCCAAAACATTACTCGCTTTAGACATGCGTTTATTTCATCAGCCGGTGTTGATTTAGGAATTACCGGTAATGTCTGTCGAAAATCTCCTGATAGTAGCAATAAAATTCCTCTCATTAATCTTGTATTTTTCCGAAGATCCTGTAATGTTCTATCTAGCGCTTCGAGTGATTTTCTATGGGCCATTGTACATTCATCCCATATAATGATTTTGCATCGCAATAAAATCTGACCACGTGCAGAAGACCTTGTTATATTACAGACTGGATACTCTTGTTCAGCTACATTTAATGGTAATTTTAAAGCAGAATGTGCCGTTTTTCCTCCTTCCATTAACGTGGCGGAAATTCCGGATAATGCCAATGCTAATGCTATTTGCTTTTTCACTCGAATTGTAGCTAGAACCAAATTAATAATAAAAGTTTTACCAGTGCCTGCTGGTGCATGTAAAAAGATAATTCCCCTTCATCTGTTTCAATACGATTTATTATCTTGTTATATACCATCCGTTGTGTTTGTGTTAATTTTGGTTCATTTTTTCTGATGTAACGTTGCAATTCTTCTATGTTATAATTAAGTTCTTTGGTTAATTCAGAACTAACTACGTCTAACTCACTTCTCACGGGAGATTGTACTCCAAGCTGAACCAAACGTTGATTGCTCATTGCTAAACATCGATCCTCTAAAATTATCAAGGCTTCATTATAAATATCTTCATTGAAAGTAATATACAAATCAGGATTGTCTCTCTGCACTCTGGCTAAAATGTCGTCACTCATGCTGTTGCGATATTTCAGCCATAGCTTAATAGGATTTGAAGGATTACACGATGTTAGAATTATTGCAAAAAGTTCTCGCACTTGATCTGCTCTTGCTACTTGTGCAGCCTCTCTCATTGCTTGCTCCCAATGATTATCATTTTCTAACAAACCACGGTGCTGACATGCTTCTGTGTTTCTCCATTCATAATTTCCAAAAATTCAGGCGGCGGCGAGTTTAATGCTGGTAATCTAATTTTACCACTTGAGCAGCATGTACTTGGTGTTTTGCCTCTGAATTTTTTAGCTTTACAAAACTTACATATTTGATCCATTTTCCCAATCACTACACTTGGATGTTCATTATAATTTTTAGTTGGATTATAATGAAACGCTTTGCATTGAAGACTGTATGTTCCTCACTGGCTTTCGCACACAGCGTATACAGTTGTTTCTAATAATTGCACGTTGACGTGCTCATCTAGGCGAATGTTACTTATTCTCTCTCTATTCTGCTTTCTTCTTTCATCCAACTGTGCACTTGTTTCTTTTTCTATACGTAATCTTTTTCTGATTTGATCTGTTTCTCTATAATTTTCAAGTTGCTCTTCTGTTTTCTTATTTCTGTTTCGTTGATAATTTTCTCGTAGCAATGTTAGACGTATTTCTCTTTCTTCCGTGGTTTCATTTCTCCGCGCCATCTTTTGCTTTTGCGATATGATTCGAGATGTCGAAAATTCTTCCTTAACGATCTTAAACAATTTTAAACGTTTAAGATCGTTCGAATTTGCTCGAATTA